CTCTAATTGGTCCTGATGTTGACAGTATTGAAAAAACTTGAGACTAGAGTTATAGTTTGGGTTTTTTTTAGATAAAAAAAAGGTCGAGCAAAATTGACATCGGACTTAAAGTTGAGAATTTTTAGAGAATTGGGCCTATAATTCTTGCAATCAAGTCAATCGATACTTTCATTAATCAGACCATTCTAAAAAGTAAGCCTAGGTGACCGAGACTTTTTGGAATTTGTGCGTTCATGGAAGAGAGAAGTTTCTCTACTTCTGGATGGCTCAAGACCAAATTGCTATTCTCTTCTTGATTGAGAAAGAAAGGGACACTAGAAGTACCATAACTTTCATATAATAGTTACTTCAGTGTAAATTTTTTTTTCAAACGATCACTTAAATGCCATTTTCATTAAAAAGAAAAAAACAACCACTTTAGTGCAATCAACAATTTGGATTGCGAGAAAATCCGACGTGTCAATAGCTTATTCTATAAGATCTGATGTAGCTCGCCAGCAAGATAAACACAGCGATTAAACCTCTAAACGATGTCGTTTATAGATCTATTTGCCCCGTATTAAGGAATTGGGGCAAAATTCAATGCATTCTTAAAAAACCCTAACCCTAATTCCTCAAATTGGAGCAAAATCATCTTCTCAAAATCTCCTTACCAAATTGTGGGCTGAGAAGATGACAGTTGGAAAATGTTCAAAGCTTGTTCACAATACGATTTCATTGCAAGGCATTGTCTTGAATCCTCCGCTCATGGTCTCATCTTCACTGCAAGGCCTCCTCTTCCTCCTCCGAGCCCAAAAAATCGGTCCTTTCTTCACCCATTCTTCGAGTTTTGTTGTTTAGAATAGCGGTGAACGAGAATTGGCGCATCATGAAGATGAAGAAAGGCTAAGACAGAGAGCTCTGTTTCTTCTCTAAGCACTCGTACACAAACGTTAGAACATTGATATTTTTTTATTTGTTATTACTTTTCTTTTGCCCTTTTGCTCATCACTCGTGGAAACACGAGACCGCGCTTATCCAAAACAACCTCAAACACGTGATTCTTCTTCTCTTCCAAAACTAGACCACCACCTCCCAATTTCTTTGGCTTCCTCAACTCTACAACGTAAAACCAAACTCTTCTTCCAATTTTCTATCCTAAAGTTGCAATTTTCCGCTTCATTTATGTTGGTTATTGCAGTTAGACCTATTAAGGTCATAAACCTATTTCTTAACTCATATTTAATGGATGAGTTATTATATATGAAATAGCTATGTTAATGGGCTATAAATAAGTATAAAATGACAAAGCTCCAAAAAATATGGATCAACTTACCTTTGTGACTCTTTCTTCACCCTTTACGAGAAAATAATGGACTCATCGAACTGTTTCAAGTTCAGAGAAGTTTTGATAGGCTCGCAAGATGGGCTTGACTTCACCCTAATAAAAAAATAGCAAGACAACTTCTTTTTTCCCATTATTATTTTTTTATTGATCTTGTTAAGTTTCATCCGTTAGTTATTGGAGTATATCTTTTCTTGGTTGCATTTGGCATTGTTTTTTATGTAATATTCTAATCTTAGTTATTGTCATTGCTAATCGAAGGTCAGCTTAAATCAACTTCTTCAATATCTTACATTCCATTTAATTAAAATTTCAATTCCTCCACATTATTTGTTGCTTTAATTTCATAAATAACTACCAAATACTGACTTTCTCTTATTCTTCATTGTGAATCAATACAAAAATTGAAAATTTCATGCAATGTAGAAAGCCAATTCCTTAGCATTTTATAGTTGAAATAGCGAATTTAAATAATATATACACATAAAGAGCTTAAAGTAGGTTAACGAGGTGGATATGGATTTTCATAGGTTGGATGAAATATGCAAGTATTTAGTAAATGGGTCAAGTCAAGTAGGATATGTGTCGGATATGGGTCACTAAATTTGTATTGCATAAAATGGGTCAAAACCGGTTAAATTGGTCAATTTGGGTCGAATCATTTGACACAACCCAAACAAGACTCGACCCACCCATTATTGACGGCTCTAACTGCAGTATTGATTCTTGAATCTGTTCTTGGTTGAATGCTGCAAAGAAAATAGAAGAGATTTTTTTGGGAGAGAGAGTAAAAGAGAAAAGCATTGTGCTTGGTTCACTTTGCCTTGTTGGATGAAGAATTTTCCATGTTGGACTTCAAATTCTTTTAGAAAAGCCAAGTAGGAGTTGAAATTTAAAAGAAGCCCCGTGGGATGAATCACCGCAATTTATTGCTAGAAGCACCCAAATGATCATTTTCTCACTAGCACTTAAGTGATCGTTTAAAAAGTTTTGGCACTGAAATGAGTATCGTGCAAAAATTACGACACTTCTAATATCTTTTCTCCCATCTTGATTAGTACCAACCTGTGAATGAATATCTCGTTTCATTTGTTCTTTTTTTAATTAGCATATAGTTTCATGACTTCAAATAGCTCCAAGAACCATAAATCATACGAGAATAGCCATTGATGAAGATGGGTCATCCCGGCGATCACCCTCGCATGTCATCCATCACTCACTCTGTTTCAGCATCACATTTGGGACAAGACTCGAAACCGGAATAGTCCGCGACCACGGAGATTGGCGCATGCGATCACGCGACCGACCCCAAGGGAATGCGCACCGATTGCAGCAAGATCCTCGAAAATCACTACGGCTGAGATTTTTGGATACATGGTGGAAGAGGCTGGGGTTGCGGGGCATCGCTAATCATTGGGGAATCCCATGGCTACTGAAAAGCTCTACTTGGTTCTTGATTTGGATAACGCTATTAGACATATATTTGCGATTAGGTTAACTGAAGTTTATATTAATTAAATATAATTGTCTAGTACTCTTCTTGTGACGTTTATATAATTTTACACTTTTCTCTCTTCTACCATAAAAATCTTTTCTGTCTTACGCCACAAATCTCGGCTTGACAACATCGCTTGATAATAGATCATATATGTTATTTATTCATTTGTCTCATTGTTAACATCTGAATTTTTCACCGACAAGCCTACTAGAGTAAAAACTCGAGATTCGGGATTCTTGATCCCGACAGGGCCCTTTTTCGGCCAAAAAGAGTCTTGTATGTGTCTTTTTCCCTTTCTTTTTTTTTTTCTTTCACTTCATCTTCAATCTCTAGCCGATCGCTGGTTCAAAAAGGGCAGCTCTGTCGACCACTGGCGAGGGCGAGCCTCGCCCAACCGTGGTGAGGCTCGTCCTCGCTGTCGCTCGCGAGGTGGAGCCTCGCTAAGGATGGGCGAAGCTTGCCCTCGCCCCTTGCCGACCCCGCCTCTAGCCGGTCGCCGTTGAAGATGAAGTGAAAGAAAAAAAAAAGAAAAATAAAGGGAGAAAGAAAAGAAAAAAATTAATAAAAAATCAAAAATAATAAAAATAATATTAAAAAATTGCCACGTCAACATCGGCCGGTGTCCAAGTCAGCGCCGGCCAGCCGGATGGATTGAATTAGAAAGTTTTAGGATTAAATTGACATAATTGCAATAAGTGTAGAACTGTTTTGGCAATTTCCCCCAATAAAATCACGAGATGATCATTGGAGATGCTAGAATCAAGTGATTGACAACTCTTGTAATATAATGATCTTTTCATTTATTATTTTTTATTATTGTATTGTTTCCTTACGAAGTGTAACATTTGTAATATCTATATATAATGAAAATCATCTCAACAACGGTACGTTGAGATTAAAAATCAATCTGCTTTGTTCTTTTATGGTATTAGAGCTAGTTGATACTGACTGGCACCCGATGCACACCCAAGTGCCTATCTAAAGCTAATTTAACTTCTTCTTTTTTCCATTAAGTGCTAATATCCTCTAGTTGATTTCAACATTATTCATCCTGTCCTAGCCAATCTATTTTTGTCGTAGTCTGTAGAGCCCTCTCATATGAGGAAGCACTTAGTCGAGTTGTCGAGTTGATGTTCGTGTTTCAATGCCAACCGCAACAGCCGCATTACCCCGTCGAGCCTTTCACGAAGGTGGCTTTTCTTTCGATGCTAGCCACATAGGTTGCATCGCTCAATAATTATTTGCCCAAGCCAGCCATATAGGCCGTTTGATGCTACGACGCAAGTCATATAGGCCGTGTCACTTAGTTTCTGTTTTACAAGCCAGCCGCATCGGCTGCTTGCTGCTTCCCCTTCGATTCTTAACATTTCGCGTGTCGCTTCAAGAAACCACACCACCACCAGACTCGCCGCTCTTAGACTAGCAAGATCTGGAAGTTTCGCCATGAGCCTCATCCGCCAACTGCACACTATTCAGACTAGTGTTCAAATTCAAGTTGACATCTTCAATGCACCTTGAGTTTGAAGGGATGTTAGAGATATTTAGGATAATTCTGATGATATTCTGTATCTCTCAAGATTGTGCGAATATCTCGCTTTGATTATGCGTATCTTAATTGATATATTATCTTATTTAGTCATTTCATAAAGCCTATAAATAGGCCGATGTACTTTTCATTGTGATACATCGAAATATATACAATTTTCCACATTTTTCTCTTTTGCATTCTTACATTTAAGTTCCGATACAGATGGAGATATCATCACGATAAATATGACCTGGTAATTGAACTAATATATGCGACTAAAAGAAAGACGAGAGGATTAGGTGATTGTATCTAAATCCGATATCAAATTACAACTGTGTACTTTGCTAGCCACTTCTCATTAAACCCTTGCAATATTAGCTCGTCTCAGTTCGTCATCCTAGCATTTAACTTGCTCCGGATTTGCCCCAACGTATTTCCATAATTCTTCTCCAGGATTGCTTCGAAGGCTGCTATTCACCAAACCAACGATGTCGGGTTTCTGATTCGAAATCAAAGATAACTCATAGAGAACCTGCAATTACCAACATCCTTCCTGTCTTTGGATCAACATGCCCGTAGGATCAGGGAAGGTGAATTTATGCCGAGAGACAAAACGAGTGGACTAAAGTTGAGTGAGTGGTAATAGAAAATAATATGTGAAAGAGTGGAATTTCGATTGAAGACTTGAAGCAGGCATTCAAGTTACAATTACAATAACTATTACTTCTTCAGGTGCAATTCTTTGGAAATTCAATAATCGATGAAATGGAAGCTATTTACAGTGCAAACATAAGGGAACCAGCCCAATGTGCATCCATATTCCTTCCTTCCTTCCTTAAACCAACCTCCAGGAAGGAATATAACACAATTATGTGAACCCAGGGCGATCGCCGAACTCAAAGACAATTGATTTTGCACCTTTCCGTAAGTTTTCCTCTATCCCGGGCTTCAAGAACTGCTGACGAGCTCGATGCCACTGCTGCTTCCCATTGAAGAATATTTACTAGCAGGGTTCTGGGTGGTCTTGACGGGGTAAGAAGCCTCCATTGCGATCCCGCACTTGCCAAAGTAATTGCTGGCCAAGTTCCTCTCCATCTTGATGTATCCGCTCTCGCCCCACGCGGCACCCCACGAGTTCCTCACGAGCCAGTAGTCGACACCATGCTGCCTCCCGTATCCGACTGCGATCACACCGTGGTCCAATGCAGTTCCACATTCACCGGTGAACACACCCTGCAGATTCGGCGGGGTTTAGGTTAGTTATAACAAGGCATTATGCAGTGTCCTGAAAATCCTCTGTTTTATCAGACAATTCTGTAGAACTAATTTAAATCCCAAGAGGCTTCATCCTCTGTATTAGTCCCAATTTCATATCCATCATGGGATCTGGTTCTGATGGAAACTAGGTTTCATTACAGCCACTGATTGAACAAGATAACAAAGTCTTAGGAGTCACTCACAGATTCATAAAGTTGGAAAGCTCTGCCTCCAGCTTCAATGGCCACACTCACGGGTTGATGAGCCACAGCCTTCTTCAAGGCTCTCTCGTCAAAGGCCGGGACATCCTCGTACCCGTCAATGCTCACGACCTTCGAGTTAACCTGCATTTTTTTTTTTTTGAAATGCCAACAATTAGAACATACAGTTCGAATCCTCACGACCTCAATTCCGAAACCAGAACAATGTCAAGCTCAACAACTGAATGCGAATCGAAAATGCTCATAAGTACTGACCCCAGACGCATCACAGGTTCCATCGACTCCCACATAAGGGTAGTCCTCCTCGGTATCGATGCCACCATTGTCGATTATGAACTGGAACGCGTAGTCCATGAGCCCACCGTTGCAACCGGCATCATAGGACCGGTCGCAATCCACGAGCTCTTGCTCGGAGAGCGATATGAGCTCGCCGGTGAAGATCTGGTTGATTCCTTCCACTGCACCTATGGTAGAGAAGGCCCAGCAGCTTCCTGGTAAAGATCAGGGAGGGAAACAGATCGGGTTCAGCTTGATGAGTTAAATTTGTGATTAATCACAGAGCAAGATCAATACAATTAAAGGGTAATCTGTAGCAGAAACATGCTGATTAATGCCAAAACATATTAATGTTCATCCATCTGAATTCAATTGTCAAATCCTTGACTGTTGATGATCACATGGGGGCGCCTACCTTGATTTGAGCAAACCACAAGTGACGTAGGAAGACCACTGTATACTCTACTGGTTTTGGTCTATCCATGTGGTGTTTAGACTTTTTCTCTTTCCCCTTTTTTATTTTTTTGCTAAAATGTGATGTTGGACTTAACATTAAATATCCACTTATATTATGATATTTTTATAATATATAATAATAATTTTCATTGTTGGGTGAGGTGAGAGGATATCTTTCCCAATAAGAAAAGGTGGGCACTAATTTCAACTCTCCTCTCCCATCCAACAAGTCCAAACCAAACTACAATTCTTTTTCATGGGCAAACGGTCAAAACTACCGTTCAATCAACATCACGTGCTATCCACCCAAACCAACCAAACTATGTATCTTCTATGCAGTATTAAATTCGTCAAATTACCAAAACATCCTTGCCCCTCCTAAGATCAATAAAATCTGCCAAGGGCAGATGCGGAAGAAAAGTCAACTCTTTTCTTCTCGTAGCGCAAACCAAACAAGATTACCAATTAGATCACGTTCACGCCTTTGGAAGCCGCACATGCGGTCCATCCATTATCTCTCTAGAGGATACAACTGAACTGCCTCCTCAAAGAGATTATGGCAGGATTCGAATTTTCGAAAATTCGTCGAAGCGATAGATACGTGCCGATCCATAAAAGATAGTCTCGCATATCGATTATGCAAGTCAAAACAACGCATTACGATTGACCCGCTAATCCGATGTTCGGTTCGTGCCTAAACCGATGCGTAAAAACGGTGTGTATTTCACATGCTCGACTATAATAAGCTTAAAGATTTATGATTAAATTAAACAGGAGAGAGGTTAATGACTATATATGGGAAAACTTCATCGCCAAGAAACGAATGTAATCCGCGCAGGCAAAGTGAAAAAGGTAAGGTGTGGGCAAAAAGCGAGAGAGGTCGACAAGCGAAATTACCGCAAGCACCCTGGTCCTTGACCGGGTTAACGGCGCCCCGGGTCCTCCAGTCGACGGCGGCCGGCAACATCTCGTCGGGGCGGACGGCGTAGCGTTCGCTGGCGCGCTTGGCCTTGGCGAGCCGGCGCTTGGGGTCGGTCCGGGTGCCGAGGTAGGCGGCGCGGTACTCCTCGTTGGTGAGATCGGCGAACCGGGTCATGCCGAGGGTGTAGGAGCGGTTGGGGGCGGCGGCGTTGTGCTCGTCGGCGAAGCGGAGGTTGTCGCGGAAGATCTGGAAGCGACGCTCCCGCTCGCCGAGGCCGTTGTAGGACTTGCCGTGCCTGGCGAGCCAGAGCTCGTACATGCCCATGACCTCCTCGTCGGTCCTCGCGGCAGCCACGGCGAGGGCGAGGGCGAGGGCCGAGGAGAGGAGGAGGAGGAGGGCGGTGCTTACGGCCGGGATCGCCATGGATGGAGGAAGGACGAAGGAGGAGAAGGAAGGAGAAGTTTTTCGGAGAGTGTTTTGAGAGTGGGAAGAAGGTGGGATTATAAAGGCAATTGGGATGGGATTTAATATTCGGATTAAATATCAATAATTGAGAGAGAAAAAGGAAAAAGGCAAAAGGCAAAAACAGAAAAGAAAATATTTTTCATTGATTTATTTTTTTGTAAAATTGGGTTTCGTGCAGGTTGGGGGGGATGACCGGGGACCGGTTGCGCCGGTACGCGCTGCGAGCGCGGAAAACGGAGGAGACTCGTTGATCGAAGGGTGTCGTGGGTCGTTGTAGGTCACTAGAAAAATGCAAGGCCAATCCGGTTTCTTTGACCGCGGTAAATTGAACGGGGGGGTGAATTAGAACGTGAATCTCTCGGCAGGGAGTAGGAGAGTCTTCGGAAACATCGCAAAGAGTTTTTTTCTTATTCTGCCCACCGCAAAGAAAATGACACTAGGCGTGAATCTCGAGCGATTTAAGTCTTTCGACTGATGTCTCCGATCGATCGTACCTATCGACACGAGTCGCTAACGCGACCGGTCTATAAGGATGTACGACATTACTGTGGCGATGAATGGGACTTGCGTGTGTGGTGCCGATACGGTGCCAATTGCACATGGCAATGGTAATATAGTGTTGCGTATGAGAGGGAGAGGGAGAGGGAGAGGGTGTGTCTACTTTGTTGGTTTGAGAAGTCTGTTTTTGGCATGTCGAGCAACTTGGACGCTGTTAATAATCACAACCACAATGATCAAATGACTTGATTATCGGTGTCGAGAAAGCTTAAGAAATTAATTGCACATGAAAAATAGTCCACCAAACAAAAGAAATAAAAGAGAACATGAAAAGTTATGCCTTTACAAATATACTCGAAATCTTGGAAGCGCGTAGTAGATGCCCAATGCCTTTACCTGAGGAGATCATCAAGAGGGAGCTCAAGTCCGATCCTGTCAACATATCCAGTTAGATTCACATTCACTCAAAATCTTAAGCCAATAAGTTATACGCCAACTGGGATATATAAACTATTCCACACCACACCAATTATCCGATGCAGGACTTCTCTAACACAACTCATATGTGTTTTAATAATCACCTCCTCACGTGTGAGCTCGGTGTTAGGTCTATTCTCCCTTAATCTAAGTATCATCGGGCTCACGTTGTAACACCACAAATTCCAACCACTCATAAACTTCCTTGAAGGTAAAAAATGGGGCCGCTCCCTCAGTAAAACTGGGATAAAGTTGAGCCAAAAGATCATGATTCAAGATAAATTCATGAGGAAGTGGGATCTCTTTAGGATCTACTCCAGCGTTTAGAAATTGATTAATTGGTAAATATACATGTACTTGATGTCCTGCCCAAGAAAGAGACCCAAGTCCTAGTAACCCTGCTAAATGGTGATTCAACATAGATTATACATCTTGGAACCAAGCCAATTTTGGAGCAGCTTTGTTATGATGGAGCCAACCGCCCACCGCTCGGAAACTTCCTTGAGATATTCACAACATCGATGCATATTGGGAGTGGACCTCCAATCAACCATCGGCTTCGATACCATTTGTTGGGAACACACAGTAGCCCAATGCCTTTACCCGGAGAGATCGCTAAGAGGGAACCTAAGTCCGAGCCCGTCAACATATCTAGTTGGACCCACTTTCACTCAAAAACTTAAGTTAAAAAAGGTTATGGGTCAACAGTAATATATTAATTGCTATACACTACACCACTTATCATATATGAAACTTCTCTAACATAACTCACACGTGCATCTCAATACATCTGACCTACATTGTATTCATTTTGGTCTTCAAACATGGTTTTAGTGAGTGCTCGATACTTCTTATGACGTGAATGTGTAGAGTTCACCGTGGATTAATTACATCCCGAAAGAATTTCAAGAGTGTTTAAAGACGATAAATCTTGCTATAAGATTTGTGGATTTTTTTGTGAGATTGATGAATTATTCACGAGAAATTACAAGGCTAAATATAATATGAGTTGTTGGCTAAGTTGTTGGGTATACATAGAGCTAGGGAAACATCGAGTGCACTCGAGTGACTCGAGTGTAATATTTATTGTATCGATTGATCTGTAGTGGAACCCATGCTGTTCTTTCCTTGAAGTACGTGTATGAACCACGTAAATATGATATCCAATTAATTTCCTCATTTCGTTTATTTTAGTGTTGGATTGCTTCCTTTCGAAACATACTATTTACTTTCTAGAAAAACAAAAACAAAACCTGTACTAACCTCCTGCACACCTTGAAATCGCTCCAAATGGATAATTTGAAATCCTAGCCATCCAATTATCGGATTCAATTTGAAGATAAAACTCTTTTTCTCTCTGTCACATGAAATGAATGAGCTAAAACCTTGATCAAAATACGTCGTTTTTGTTTTGATGGGAAATGTGTCGTCTTGACTCATTTGGCATGTCCATTGTATACATCATCGCCTTTTTGCCACATCATATGTCAAATAAGTTTCTTTGTTGGACATGTTTGTCGAGATAATTACTTCATCAGTTTTAAACTTATTATTTGTTACCGAAGCAAACTTTTTTATTTTGTCAAATCTAGTCTTAAATCTTTGCGAAAAATTCTAATATAAGTCATTTCGGTCAATTTTCGACGGAAATCGTTGTTATAGTAATCCATGAATGGCCGGCCATTTGTACAATAGATTTAAGACTGATGGGACAATTTCCCCACGTTTATCTCTAGAGCGAAAGCTCATACTTTTTTCGTTTGAAATGTCAGGTCATTTATTTTTACGTAAAGGGTATAAATTGGCGGTTTTTTTTAAGGAACTTGTCCAAGAAGGACGAAATCAGAGAATAGCGAACAAATTAGACAACCCCCTCTAGAAGATGCGATTTCACTTAAGATAAGGAATTCCATTAGCTCGAGTAAACGGATATCTTTTCCATCTGAAATTAAACCAAAAAATGAATCTTTATGAAAGTATGGTCGAGCTTAAAAGTCTTTTAGATCTTTGAGTTGACGAGTTAAGTTCTCGTACGCTGGTTTATGGGGGCATTCACCCCTTTTAAAAACCTCAATAGTCAACCGAAGAATTGCGTCCACTTCACGATTCCTCACGAGTTGAGGATTGCTTCGTGAGGATCGAGTTGGAGTAGCGGTCTGCGTTGGAAACGTGCAGGAAACACTATTCCCATAGAAATATTCACAAATCCATTACGTTAATTAATTGATAATTACTTTTTTTCCCGGAATTTCCTTATATGAGTTAAAATCTTTATCGATCTTCAAATCACTAAAGTATAGATCTCATGTCATGTGCTCGATCTTGATCGGCAATGACGCATTCACAAAGTGGAAGGCATCCTCGATGCCTTTGTGCCGTAGACTTGAGGATTTTCTATGGAGAATGTTTAGTTGTGGGAGTTAGGGTTTTCTCTCGCACGGCGATAATTTGTTTTATTGAGTGCAGTCATAAGTTTTTTTTTCCCTAATATTTTTCTGACGGAATTATACTACTAGTGTATATTTAATTAGCTGTATTATTTCGAGAATTTGGACCCGTTAAATGATTGAGACTCAAATTTGATCTCATTAGGGTTCGTAAAACCCAAATTGCAATAAACAAAGCCAAAAACTCATAATGTGATTTCAAATTTATCCATCGACAAACCAAATCCTTTTGTTTAAATTTAAAAAAGTATTTATGCAGCTGTATTTTCCTTCCAAAATTATGAAAACAAAAGAAAATTCAAAGTTTTAGAAAATTTTAAAAATAATTATCAATGTTACTATATTATATATGTCGAAAGATCTCAAGTGTCCAGATACCAAGAAATTTCAATTTCAAATGTTGATAAAAAAAGAGAGAGAGAGAGTAAATATCACACCAAACATACTCTAAAGAAACAAATCCAAGACGGCAACCCCACTTGAGACATTACTTACAGTAACTTTTCATGTTTTAGATAAGCTTATATCTATAAAGAAAAAAGTGTCATAAGAATATTCTAACAAGCATAAGTTAAACTCACATTTCCTAATTCTATGCATGAGAAATTTATGATGCAAAGCATGTAATTCGTAAATGAGACAACTTGACAATGAAATGAAAGCAGAACATGAGAAAAACCCTCGTAGATATTAAATTGATCATGAACAATGGTAGAAAGTTCATATAGAAACCCTAATAATCTTTTCTTTTAAGCAATTTAAAAAATTCTTACTTGACTGCTGATAATATACAATGAAGACAGAACGTTGCATGTGTTTGAGGGACTTCTTCTACTCTTTATTGACGCCACTAACACAACTTTGCCACGGCTCTGCCTCAGAGAAAATTTTGGTAAAATTGAAATTTGCAAAGAGTTATTTTATGAGTATATATTTGTATTCCCACTTTCACCTAACAGCATGACTTGTGGATCACCAATCTGTCGGTCCATGACAAAGTGTTAGACCGGGTACATTTACTAACAACTTTGTTTTAATGCTAACTTGATACACATGGAATCATTTATCTAGAAATCACATTTTACTGAAGGGTTCAATCAAGTCAATTTGAGTGGACACGCTTTTTCGCTAATTGAATTCGTCTCCACCTAAATATGAGGAAAAATTACCCAATCAATATTTAAACATATTGTACGGATACCAATTCAATCCTAAACATTTAATTTTGCTAATTTAGTCATAATCCTTTGCACGGGATTCCAATGTAGTCCTTCTAATCAATTTTCGCTGAAAATCATTCACGTGGCACTCTAGTCATTGCTAACTGTCCCACGTGGCATGCCGCCACGTCAACATCATTTTCCTTCTATCGTTTGTGTAGGTATATTTTTAACGGTGATCATTAATGGAATTTTGATTAAAGATAAATGTGTTACACAGATATAAGTTTGGGAGTAAGTTTATAATAAATGTATCGCAATTAGCATAATTTTAATTTTTTGTTATAAAAAAGAATATATATATATATTTTTTAAGTCTGCGAATTTCGATTTTTCTTTCTTCTGCAACATAGATGAGCCTGCGAA